AAAAAAGAAAAGAAAAACGAGAGTACACAACATACAAATAACCAGCTGCGTTGACACAGTGAGGGAGAGAGCACCTGAGTGTGTATGACCCATCACTCTAGCTCGAGTGTGGCGTCGTCGAGGATGTCATCACGCAATGGCTCTGAGAGGCGGAGTTGTCAGCCCGCCCATGCTGGGGGTGATAGTGAGCAGAAGCAACAGCAAGAAGAAGAAAAGAAACCCGCTTCTATCTCGAAGGAGAAAAAATTGGTAGACGCGGAGAATGAGGGTGAGTGTATGTTTGCCACTGCAGTGGCGGATATGACGAACTTTGACAACTGTGATGTGACGACACCGGAGATCGAGAATGATGTCTGCTGCCGAATCGATGATTATGATAAGGGTGACGACGATGTTTCTCTTGTTACGGACAATGGTGGTTACGATGGCAGTACTGCATCTGGCGACTGCGCTTTCTCCATACAGAGTGGGGCGGTGCACTGGGATGATGCCCAGCAGAGCGATGACGACGACAAGGACGGGGAGGGTGCGCGGCGGCCCTCCTCGCCCTTCGTGCTGCTGGGCCACGTTGAGCAGGGCGGTGGCCTTGTGGAGGAGCGCGTGGTGGAAGTCGCCATCGCCAACCTCGAAGCGGAGCTCGAGAGAATCAAGAACAGGATAGCGGCGCTGCGTGCAGAAGAGAGGCAACGGCGCCAGGGGCTCCTGGCGGCGTCACTGACGCGGCGCCAAACGAAGACAGCCGCTGTGCCGGGAGCTGCGAGCGTCGGGTCTACCCGAAGACTGGGGGGCACAGTAGAAACGGCAGGCACGGCGACGGAGGTGCACCCATGGCGTCAGCAACAGTGTACGCGCGCCGCGCTGGTGGCCCCGCCCACCGCTCCCACCGCGCCACCCGAAGAGATCATGGAGAGTGACAACCCTGATGGCGATGGAGGTCATCAAACACCACAGATCTTCCCGGGTAGTGACGAAACACTGGTGGACGTGGAAGGAAGTGGTGCGGTGGAGGACGACGGGGATAGCCACGAGAACAACGGTATTCCAGTGCTACCCCCGAGTCATCTGCAGGAGTGGTTGTTTACCTTGCGAGAGGGTTCTGATGGGTTAGAACAGGAGTCATACCCGGTTGATTCGAATGGCGGTAGCCGCGAAAAAATTGGTGCCACTGTTGATGGCGGATTTCCTTCGGCGGAAAGCAGTAGTGCTGCTGGCTTTGGTGACGCAAGCAGCCACCTTGCAGCAGATCTCATGGGACGCTACCTGTGCCTACTTGAAATGGGTGGGATGGAAACATTTGAGTTCGTTTTTGACGAAGATGATGCCACGAAGCGCCAGAGGTTTCACAATGCAGAGTATGAACTTATGCTTGCTCAACAAAGGGTGATTGCCAAGATGGAGGCTCTGAGATGTAATCGCCTCACCACCGGGACGCACTTGTGGCAAAGCAATGAGTCTGCGAGTCGCTGCCCGCACTGTAACAGGGCTTTCACCATCACTGTGCGGAAGCACCACTGCCGCCGCTGCGGTGTCCTCCTGTGCAACGACTGTTGTTCGCATGTAGGGCGTGACATGTACGCACCTCGGAAAGAGTCGCAACGTAATGGCATTGACGATAACAACCATGAAGGAACTAGAAAAAGTAGCAGCCAAGTTGATGGTTCAACCTTTTCTTTTACTGATGCTGCTTCTGTTCCTGGGAGTACCGCACCGCCACTGCGAGGGGACGAGTGGATGTTTGACACATGCGATCTCACCGACGGCGTGACTGAGACTCGTGAGGAGAGTGACAGCATGGCATCAGCGCAACAGAGGCGGACTGGTGGAAGTGCGATCAAGTGGGCGTGCAGACGCAGCGGCCTCAAGGTGCGCACGGCTCCCTGGTGCCGCATCTGCAGCCGCTGCTATCTTATGTGTCTCCGCGCACGAACTGAAGGTAGACACAGCAGCGTGCTGGATGACGGTCGCCGCTGTTTCTACGTTCTGACGGATGATGAGTTGTCCTTCACGAACTACAACACCACGTGGGAGACGCGATGTGCGCAGCTGGACGTACTGAAGCACTTTATCATGGAGCGGGCTGCGGATGCCGCGCACGGACAGCTGCGGCGCGTCACGAGTTTATTTGTGGCGTGGGTGCGCGGCTTGGGGAGGCGCGCCATCGAGAGAGGCAGTGGCGATGCGGCGGATTCATGCTGAGACCCTTCCGGCGGTGGGTGTGTGAGATGGACGGCGAGCGGAATGTAGATTGCTTCGTGCACTGCAGAGAATGGAGAGGCGAGAGGGCAAAGTCCAAGAGAGGGAGACAAGTGGAGAAGGAAGAATGGTAGGCAAAATGCCAATGCGGGGGTAAGCAGCGAGGAGGCGCCTTTGAAATGTCGCAAAAAAAAAGCCGCATACAGAAGCTAAAAGCAAAACAAACAACAAAGTGAGAGGAGTGATAGGTGAGAGACAAAAACAATAAAAAAAAAGGAGTACAAGAGAGAATGGTCGTGGTGGACATACATACACATGTTTATATGGATCAAAACTATATATGCTGCGGCAAAATGAGGAGCATCGGGGTGTGAAGCTGCAGGAGAAGAGGGGTGCGGGGGGAAATGGTGGGAGGGGTGTGCTTCGTGGGCGCGTAGCGGGGGGTGGTGTATGACTCACGACCCTCGCGCTACTGCTGCTTTGGGGAGCAACAATGGGTATGTATGTGAATCGAAAGCAAAAAGCGAATAACGGAAAATAGACTTTGCGACCTGTATGCGTGTGATCTGTTCACACGCTTTCGGTCACTCCATATTTGGAGGGATTAAAAAAAAAATGAAGGAAAGAAAGGACAGTGCGTGCTTGTGTGTATGTGTGTGTGTGTGTGTGTGTGTGATGCATCTTTGAAGTTCATTCACCACAGTAGCACCCCTCTGTGCACTCAACTCCCTGCCTTCTTCGGATATTGTTATCCTGGCATTATCATTATTACCCCTTCGCCCACTCAGTGATTTGTGCACGGCACATATTTATATACATATACATATTTATATACAAGCATACGACAGTACACATTCAACCGAAACACGAAAGAGAAGCATCTCTCCTGTGAGACGTTTCCGTCTGTGTGGGAATGTGGAGCAGGAACAGGTGTAGGGTGCCCCGTTGTGTTTGTGTAGGGTGCGATAGCCAGTGATTGAAATAGAAGTGTTAGTGTGTGTCGACGTGAATGTTTGCAGGGGTCCGCAAGTCCCCTCTCATGCATGCTTGTTTTTGTTGCTGCTGGTGTTTTAGTCTTCTGTTGTGTTTTTTTTTGTTTTGGTTTTTTTTTTTTTTT